ACTCAGTCCCTTTGGCTCCTAACAGTTTTTCACTCAGGTGAGATGCCTATTAAAATGCAATTTTTCCTGCAATCCCTCCTGGAATTAGTTTATCCTGAATATAGAAACAGTTTAGTAAGGGGACAAGGCCCTTTGTGAACATGGCGCAGGAATGAGATCCACCAAGTGGCAGAGAGGTCCTAGAGAGAAGGAGAGAGGCCCTAAAAATAGAAGTGAGAATCAAAGGCAAAATTCCCCCACTTCACAATTTTGCCTTCATGGAACTTGGACTGACCCAGGACACATGTTCTTGTGCAAATAGAGCAATATACAGACCTCACATGTGTATGATCTGGTCCAGGACCCTCAAGACCCTTCTGGTTTTCAGGTATCCACTCTCCTAGAATTGAGCTTTGCTAGTTTCCCCCCCCCAAAAAAAAGAAAGAAAGAAAAGTAAAGAAAGGTGGAGAAGGAGGAAAAAACCATAAGGAAACCCAAAATGTGGACTTATCTCTGGGTTCCAAGAATTCCTCACTGTAGAATGTGATACCTCACCTTTTTCATAACCTGCAAACTCTGTAGGCCACAGGGTATTCGGGTTCTGAAGAGATCATTACACGACATCTACAGACAGGGAAGGCAGCTGGGATATGGGCCTGAGAAGCTGTAGGGGTAACGAGTATCTCTTGAAGCTCTGTTTCCTTCGTGTTTTTGGCATGTCACTTGGCATACTTTCATATATTGTGTAAAAGAGAAGCCATTTTTGTCTTTTGTCATAAATCCAGTCTGCTCAAGGAAGGACAGCACAGCCTGGTTACCTGGGAGACACTTTCACTGTATCCTCAGTAACTGGCCAGGACGCCAAACATTTCACTGACCAGGCCGTGTCTCTGACCTGTAAACATGCTACGGATCCCCTAACTCATTTCTTACACCTTCCATACCCACATTCCTTAAATCTCAAATCCCATGTCTAACACCCTTACATGTTGCTCACAATCTAGAACAGGTCTGATTTCTCTGTAAAATAGCCAAATATCCCACTATGAGCAAAGAGTTAACAAAACTCTTTCCCCTCTTGCATGCTAATTTGACCTTCATTTAACATCCAAGTTCAATTTCCCCGAAAACAGGTAAAAGATGGTATGTGCCAACATGTCGCCAAATCATGTTTCTTATGGTAAAAATACCCTGTTTATCTGGATTTGGAGGAACTATAAGAGAACTGCAAATACCTGATGGGTACAACATATCTTGGACATCCTGAGGTGGTGATTTTTATAAATGCAATGTTCATTCCAGAAACTCTGGAAGCTGTGCCAATGGAGTTGTTACCAAAAATACTGGTTCCTATGAGGCATGGAGCACATAAGCCATGGCAGCTCCTGCAGTTGCCCAATGCAGATCTTATCTCCTTGCACCTAGATCGATGGCTGAGCTGAACTGCTGCAAGCCCTGCTCTGCTGGCAAGCTGTGGTTCCCATCTTATATCACTCTCAGTAGATGAGTACCCAAGATGGCCCATGGTAGTCTCTTAGGCTGAGTGTTTAGTAGGACCTAAGAAGACTCCCTGGTAGGTGTTGTGTTCATATTTTAGAACCAAACTATACCTACAACAGTACTAAGCCTCTTGTCTTCTTTTTCTTCCTCTTCCCTTCTCTCCATAACAATTTATCTCCATGGCATATGTTAGTGTTACCTCCATAACATCAATAATGATGACGGTTACGATAATTGCAGCAACTAAGATTTGTTAAATGCTCACTATGTGACAGGTACTGTCACATAAGCACTTTATATATATTAACTCACTTAATCCTCTTAATAACCTCATAATTATCTCCTCAATATTAACCCTCGACATCATCATCTCTATTGTATGAATTAGGAAACTAAGGCACAAAGAAATTAATTAAGTTGTCCAAAGTCACACAGCTAATAAATGTCAGAGTCAAAGATTCAAACCCAGGAGGTCTAGTGTTGATGCTCTTAACCCAGCTGCTACGATCCTCCAACGAGCTCAGAGCTTCATCCTGTCTCTCTTTCTCTTCATCACCAAACTTTCAGAAGTGTGTTCTGTCCCTGCTGCCTTTGTTTTTCCTCCATCCACTTCCTCCTTCGGCCCTTAAAATATGGTTGCTTTTACTACTTTCTTGACTTGACACTCACGATGAAAACCAGTCACCTCCTAGTTTCTTAATTCTTTATTCTGTCAGTTCTCATTCACTTTGACCTTGCGCAGTCCTTTCTGAAATTCCACCCTGTCTGCCCCCCAAGACCTGGCAATTTTCAGCAGCAGCCCATCTGGCTGCGGACATGATGAGCTTCTCTTCCTGCTTTCACAAGTCTCTAGACTTGTGAACATTTTCTCTAGAGAACCAGTGCTTTCACATACTTAAATTTTCTTCCTTGACACATCATATCTAGTCTCAGCATAACAAAAATGATAGGAAAACTCTAATTTTGAGAGCTTACCAATCCTCCAATCCTATACTGACTTATCTAAACTTACCTCCCACTTCCCTGGCTGCCCCTTTGTGGCTTCCTTTTGTGTCCCTCACAGCCTACTGTAAAAATCTAAAGATGGTCCTCAGCTCTTTACCCTTTGTCCATCAAACCCTGTCCATGTGAATATCCACCTGGGCCTGCAACTTCACACTATTTCCTATTTCATGTGCTTATGCCAAGAGTCTTCATAGTTTATGTCACATAATCCCTGTAATAATGCTACAAAGACGGTATTGTTAGTTCCATTTTAAACATGGTGAAAATTCAGCATTAAGAGGTCAAATAAATTGCCTAAGATCACAAAGCTTATAAGTGATAAAGTATCCATCTGAACCTAAATCCCCATGCAATTTCCTGCTTCATGATACTGTGTAACCATAACTTCCCAGATAACTGACAAGAATAAATACATGCCAGGATCTACACAATGAGGGTTACACATATTATCTCAATCCTCATAACAGCCTTATGAGGAATAGAGACCATAATCACCATCCTTTTTTTTTTTTTTTTTTTTTTTTTTTTAGGTAGAGAAACAGATTCAGAGAGATTAAGTAACTTGGTCATGGTCACATTCTGGATGGCATACTGAAGACTCAAATCTAAGTCTGCATAACTCCAAAAGTCATGCTTTTAAACCATTAAATTGTTTCCCAAATATACACTTAAATCTTGGACTATCCACAGTCACATTGTACCTGCTATGGTTTGAATGTGCTCCCAAATTTCATGTGTTGGAAACTTAATCCCCAGGTTCATATGTTGATGGCATTTGGAGGGGAGGCCTTTGGGAGGTAATTAGGATTAGATGAGGTCATCAAAGTGGGACCCCCATGATGGAATTAGTGGCTTTAGAAAGAGAGGAAGAGGAACCTGAGCTAGCACACTTGCCCTGTCTCAACGTGTGGTGCCCTCTGCCATGTCATGATGCGGCAAGTAGATCCTCACAGGATGCTATATGCTCTTGGACTTCCCAGCCTCCAGAACCACAAACTAAATAAATCTTTCTCTACAAATTACCTAGTCTCAGGCATTATTTTATAGCAACAGAAAACAATCTAAGACAGTATCTATGGGCTCAATATGAATATCCTCTTGATATTCCACAAGCATCTCAAAACTACTTCCTTTTCCTGTCTTCCCACATCTTTGCGTCATCCCTCAGAGCTCAACTTTTTCTCTATTTTCTCAAATAACTCTGGAATATGCCCTTTACTTCCATTGCTGCTGCTATTTATCCCTCAGCCCACCCTGCCTAGATAATTACAAATACTTGCCTATTGGGCCCTCTTACTCCATTCTGTCCCTTATACTAAGCCATGTGACCCCATCAGGTTCACTGCTGCAATATATTTCTTTCCCATGTCATTCCCTCAGTCAAGATAATAAAAATGAAACAAAAGACAAACCCTGTTGTTGCTGATGCCTACAACAAAAATCCAATCTTCTTAACCAGGTATTCAACGCCTCTCCCACCACAGACTGATCCAAATCTGCCTTATTCTTTTATTTCACATCACTGTTCTACACCAAGTATGTTTTGCAGCCAAATTGCTTTATTCACTGCCATGTAAACATACCCTATTATGTTCGTTCCATCCCCATATTGGTGTCCACAATTCCTCCCACCATTAAATACACAAATCTCCAGATTATTCCCATCCTTCCAAATTGAAGTCTCATCTCCTCCTGATGCCTTTCTTTACCAAATAAGCCCATACTGACTTTCTTCTTTGAAACTCATTTCTCTAGTGTTTACCATAGTAGTTCACAAACACAGCCTTAACTTAGAACTATCTGAAATGTTTTTTGTTGTTATTGTTTTTTTTAATATAACTTCCTAGCTGGACATGGTGGCTCATGCCTGTAATCCCAGCACTTTGGGAGGCCAAGTCAGACAGATTACCTGAGATCAGGAGTTCAAGACCAGCTTGGCCAACAATGAAAAACCCTGTCTCTACTGAAAATACAAAAAAATTAGCCAGGCACAGTGGCAGGTACCTGTAGTTATATATTGTCCCACCTACTAGGGAGGCTGAAGCAGAAGAATCACTTGAACCCAGGAGGTAGAGGTTGCAGTGAGCTGAGAACACACCACTGCACACCAGCCTGGGTGACAGAGTGAAACTCTGTTTTATATATATATATAAATTTTATATTTTTATATATTTTATATATATATAAAACTTTCCAGGCCCTACCATTAATGTTCTGATTCCATAGAAGCTCTGCAGGTAACCTCAATATACTTGCATTTAAAATGTTCATGTGGAGACTTATGTATGGTCTGTCCATGACTGGGTAGCTACTGTCAGATTTAACTCTACTGTCTATTAACTATCTGAAAGACATTGGTCAATAACCAATATAGAACAATGATCCTCTAACGAGGAAAAACATACCATGTTAAGTCCCATATTCACCTCTGCTTTCTCCCTGAGGATATTTTCCTAACTGTAGAGCAGAGAAACAGAAGCTGAGCAGAGGGCAGCAAGTCTTGATGGATGTAAAAAATGGATATTACCGTTCAAGTGCTGGTAAGGAGGCTGAGATTGGTAACAGAATATTACAGAGGAGGGGGATATAGAGGAGCTACCTTAAAATCTTCAGCAAAATTTCTCTCAGGTCCTCAGCCAAATTCCAAGCTTTGCATATGCAGGACAGGACTCCAGAAAGTCTAGCAGAGAACAGCTATGAGAGGTGGGGCATATTGAGAGCTAAACAGAAATTTTAGAGGTCACACAATGCTGGGGAAATGTGGGGAGCTGTAATTCACACAGAGTAGATAGGCTTTCATGAGCTCTCTGGGCATTCATTTGGGACCCCAAAAACACCAGGCTATAGGATTAAGAGCCACATCTTAATCCTATACTGACTTTGATTAATAAAAGGTACAAATATACCTACCATACCAAAATCTAAACCCTATGATTAATAAAAAGGTACAAATATACCTACCATACCAAAATCTAAACCAAGGCTCAATGGGATCAAGATAATCTTCTTGTAATTTAATTGCATTCTAGATTAAGGCCTTAAAATATTTAGGGAAAGATAAACTAACAAGAGCCTCTACACTGTATCATCATCAATATCCACTATACAATGTAAATTACAAGATATATAAAGAGACAGGGAAAACTTACTGATAATCAAAAAATAAGTCAATAGAAGACGATACTAAAGTGAATTAGCACACAAGGCTTTCAAACTAACTGTGATTTACATCTTAAAGAAAATGGGGGGAAAGTGACAAAATGGATTAAAAGATGGAATGCTGCAATGGAGAATAAGAATCTATAAGAAGAATCACATAAACATTTTAGAACTACAGAATATAATACTGAACTTAAGAATTCATTGGATGAGTGTAATGGCAGAATAGATGCAGCATCAAGCAGGATGAATGAACTTGAAAACAAATCAATAGAAAACAGCACACTGGGCTGGGGGCAGTGGGTCACACCTGTGATCCCAGCACTTGGGGAGGCTGAGGCGGGTGGATCACGAGGTCAGGAGTTTGAGACCAGTCTGGCCAACATGGTGAAACCCTGTCTCTACTAAAATTACAAAAATTAGCCAGGTGTGGTGGTGGGCACCTGTAATCCCAGCTACTCAGGAGGCTGAGGCAGGAAAATTGCTTGAGAGCAGAAGACGGAGTAAGCCGAGATTGTGCCACTGCACTCCAGCCTGGGCAATAAGACCAAAACTCTGTCTCAAAAAAAAGAAAGAAAGAATAAAAGAAAGAAAGAAAGGAAAGAAGGAAAGGAAAGGAAGGAAAGGAAAGGAAAGGAAAGGAAAGGAAAGGAAAGGACAGGAAAGGAAAGGAAAAAGGAACGGAAAAAGGAAAGGAAAAAGGAAAGGAAAAAGGAAAGGAAAAAAGGAAAGGAAAAAAGGAAAGGAAAAAGGAAAGGAAAAAGGAAAGGAAAGGAAGAAAACAGCACACTGAAACACAGATTGAAAAGCAAATAGAAGCACAATGAAATAAGAGAGGACACAAACAGATGGAGAAACATTCCATGTTCATGGTTAGGAAGAATCAATATCGTGAAAATGGCCATACTGCCCAAAGTAATTTATAGATTCGACGCTATCCCCATCAAGCTACCAATGACCTTCTTCTCAGAACTGGAAGAAAACCACCTTAAACTTCATATGGAACCAAAAGAGAGCCTGCATAGCCAAGTCAATTCTAAGCAAAAAGAACACAGCAGGAGGTATCACACTACTGGACTTCAAACTATACTACAAGGCTACAGTAATCAAAACAGCTTGGTACTGGTACCAAAACAGAGATATAGACCAATGGAATAGAACAGAGGCCTCGGAGGCAACACAACATATCTACAACCATCTGATCTTTGACAAACCTGACAAAACAAGCAATGGGGAAAGGATTCTCTGTTTAATAAATGGTGTTGGCAAAACTGGCTAGCCATGTGCAGAAAGCAGAAACTGGACCCCTTCCTGAAACCTTACACTAAAATTAACTCCAGATGGATTAAAGACTTAAACATAAGACCTAACACCATAAAAATCCTAGAAGAAAATCTAGGCAAAACCATTCAGGACATAGGTGTAGGCAAGGACTTCATGACCAAAACACCAAAAGCATTGGCAACAAAAGCCAAAATAGACAAATGGGACCTAATCAAACTCCACAGCTTCTGCATGGCAAAAGAAACAGTCATTAGAGTGAATTGGCAACCAACAGAATGGGAAAAATTTTTGCAGTTTACCCATCTGACAAAGGGCTGATATCTAGAATTTACAAAGAACTAAAACAGATTTACAAGAACAAAACAAACAAGCCCATTCAAAAGTGGGCAAAGAATATGAACAGACACTTTACAAAAGAAGACATACATGAAGCCACAAACATATGAAAACATGCTCATCATCACTGGTCATTAGAGAAATGCAAATCAAAACTACATTGAGATACCACCTCACACCAGTTAGAATGGCGATCATTAAAAAATCTGGAGACGACAGATGCTGGAGAGGATGTGGAGAAAAAGGAACACTTTTACACTGTTGGTGGGAGTGTAAACTAGTTCAACCATTGTGGAAGACAGTGTGGCGATTCCTCAAGGCCTTAGAAATAGAAATTCCAATTGACCCAGCAATCCCATTACTGGGTATATATCCAAAGGACTATAAATTGTTCTACTATAAGGACACATGCACACGAATGTTCATTGCAGCACTGTTTACAATAGCAAAGACCTGGAACCAACCCAAATGCCATCGATGATAGACTGGACAGAAAAAATGTGGCACATATACACCATGGAATATTATGCAGCCATAAAAAACGATGAGTTCATGTCCTTTGTAGAGACATGGATGAACCTGGAGACCATCATTCTCAGCAAACTGACACAAGGACAGAAAATGAAATACTGCATGTTCTCACTCATAGGTGGGTGTTGAACAATGAGAACACATGGACACAGGGAGGGAAGCACTACACACTGGGGTCAGTTGGGGGAATAGGGGAGGGACAGCGGGCGGTGGGGAGTTGGGGAGAGATAGCATGGGGAGAAATGCCAGATTTCTCTGAAGGGGAGGAAAGCAGCAAATCACACTGCCACGTGTGTACCTATGCAACTATCTTGCATGTTCTTCACATGTACCCCAAAACCTAAAATGCAATAAAAAGAAAAAGAAAAAAAATAGAAGAAACAGCAGAAGAGATGTGGGACACAACTAAAAGATCTAGTACAGTGCTGTCCAGTACAACCTTTTGTGATGACAGACATGTTAGGTATCTGTCCTATCCAGTTGGTTTGCCACTAGGTATGGGTGCCTTTTGAATACTTAAAATGTGGCAAGCGAAACCAAGAAACTGTGTTTTAAATTTTATTTTTAAGCCCAGTATGGTGGCTCACACCTGTAATACCAGCACTTTGGGTGGTCGAGGCAGGTGAATCACCTGAAGTCAGGAGTTCAAGACCAGCCTGGCCAACGTGGCAAAACCCTGTCTCTACTAAAAATACACAAATTAGCCAGGTGTGGTGGCACATGTCTGTAATCCCAGCTACTTAGAAGGCTGAGGCAGAAGAATCGCTTGAACCTGGGAGGTGGAGGTTGCTCTGAGCTGGGATCACATCACTGCACTCCAGCCTGGGCAACAAGAGCGAAACTTCATCTCACAAAAAGAAACCACAAAAAGGGTTGCCCCGAGGAACCGCAGAGCCCCTGCCACGTCTCACTCTGTCGCCCAGGCTGGAGTGCAATGGCATCATCTCAGCTCACTGCAACCTCCCTCTTCCGGGTTCAAGAGATTCTCCTGCCTCAGCCTTCTGAGTATCTGGGACTACAACATGAGCCACAAGTGCAGCACCAACTGGGAAGTCTATTTGGAGTGCCCTGGCAGCCCCCCAGCCCCCCGACATGGCATGGCCCTGCTGATCAAGAGACAAGCATGGTGACCCGGCAGCACTGGCATCTCCAGGGCCTGGGTAGATCTGAGCTCCAGGCCGCTGGTTCCCTGAGGCACAACCAGGAGAAGCAGCAGAGTCCGGCCCAAGCTTCCTACCGGGTTCTGAGGTTGGCCAGCCTTGCTCTTCCCCTCCCAGTGAAGAAGTCCAGTCATGGCTCAGAGCAATTCCCCCCATTCCAGATGAAGTCGTGGTCAGGCAGAAGAGGGCCCCACAGGGCTCCTGGAAGGTCGGCACACTCCGCCATGGAAAGAGAGTCTACACCGTGGCCATCAGCAGCTCAACCCACCACGTGTACACGTGTGGCTCTGGCAACATCAGGGTGTGGGATGAGGGTGCATTGCATGCGGGGGGCAAGGTCCCTCAGGCCCAACTTTCAGGACCGCCAGGACTGTGTCGTTACCTGTAAGCTGTTCCCCGATGAACAGAGCCTGATCACAGGGGGTGCCTCCCAGGCTGTGACTCTCTGGGACCTGGCACCTACCCCACAGGTCAGGGCACAGCTGACCTCGACAGGCCCCACGTGCTATTCCCTGGCTGTGTCCTCCGATGCCCATATCTGTTTGGCTGGTTTCCAAGGATTTGTTGAGATTTGGGATTTGCAGAACCAAATCTTGATCAGGAAGCACCAAGTTCCTGTATATGCGTCCCGATGTGTTGACATCACAGGCAATATGTTCTGGACGGGAGGTGAAGATACCACCCTGTATTCCTGGGACCTGAGGAGCTACCAGAGGCTGCACCAATATGACTTAGAGAATGAGATCCTCAGCATTACCCATGACCCCAGTGAAGAATGGATATTGGCAGGCTTGAGAACAAGTGATATCGCATTCCTTCACACTCTTCGGAATGAGAAGTTTAAGGTTGTCATGAAAAAATACACCCGCCACCACAGCCTCAAGTTTGCCTCTTGTGGGAGCTATTTTGTGACTGCGAAAGATGCGTGCACCAGTGGCTTGGAGGCACCTTCTCTACAAAAGTTGTTTCAGGTAGAGGAGTCGTCAGGTATCCTGTGCTGTGACGTGTCCTCTGACAACCAGTATCTGGTCATGGGCTCCAAGAGCAGTGCCATCATCTACCAGCTCTTGTATTAAAGGTGGCATGCTATGGTCCTGCCAGTGAAGGCTAGTCTTTGGGCTGGTGTGCCTGAGAGGATGGCTTCACGGTGCTGGACATCTCTAATGCTGCCGCCTCCTCTGCCTTGGCTTTAGTGGCAGGTCATCCCTCCCCTCCAACACACCATTCTCAGCCCACACTCCCAGATTTTAATCAAATAACTTGGAGCTTTTTCCTTTGTTATCTTTGTACCACTGATTTCTGGGTTTTGGCAGGAAACTTGAAATCCCTTTGTAATGAATAAAATAGCAAAGCAGAAAACAAAAAAAAAAAAAAAAAAAAAAGAAACCACAAAAAAAAAAAACCAACAAAAAAATTTTATTTTTAACAAATTTTTTTTTATTTGAATAAGTTTAAAGGGTACAAATGCAATTTTGTTACATGGAGAGATTGCATAGTGGTGAAGTCTGGGAGCTTTTAGTGTATCCATCACCACAATAGTGCATGCTGCACCCGCTAAGTTTAATGAGCCAGATGTGGCTACTGACAGCCCTGTTGGATAGTATAGTTTTAACGCAGGCATACTTAGAGTTCCACAGGAAAGGAGAGAGAAAATGGAACACAATAGACTCTAAGAAAGCTCCTTTTAAAGTAGTATATTAGACATTGATTCCCTAACTTTTCACCCCAGATCATGTGTTCAAACCAGTCATACTAATTTCACTCCCCTTTTCATTTACAAGTTCAAAATTGGGCAAATCTTAGTGAGTACGAACCAATGAAATTGAGGAGAAATTTGCTTAGGGATTCTGGGAAAGAGAAGCCAGTGTCTGTGTTTCTCCTTCCTTCTGCTACTCTGTCACTTGGGAATAGTGAAGCATGTTTACTCTGTTATAACTGGCAGCTGTCTTAGAACCATGAGGGGAAACAGCCTTGCAAAGAAGCTCTCGGCAGAACAGTGAGATCTCAGCAGAGGAGTGAGATAGAAAGATCCTGGTCCCTGAAGATGGGCATGCACTGACTCATCAATCTTGAAGCTCATATTATCTCTGAAAGACAACTTAAAATGTGAAATACTTCCTTGATATTTAAGCCAATTTTAGTCCATCTTCTCCTTCTTGCAGCCCAAAGCATCCTGATGCCAAGAATTACATGCTCATGATGTTTAGTGTGATCTTTTTATTCACTTATTGAGTACTCTTTGTATTCCAGACATCGGATTAGACACTGGTGATAAAAGATCAAGGCCATGGTCTAGTGAGGGAGACAAACACATTTAATATTCTGTTAATGTTAGTAAATGTGAAAAGTACTATAAGAGATGTATATTGCAGGCAGAGGAGCACTCGGTCCAACTTGGCAGAGGTAGGGTTAGGGAAAAGCATGGATAGTTTCTGGGTGGCAACACCTGGACAGCATTTAAAACACAATAGGATTTAGTCAGGCAAAGAAGGTGTACTTGGAAAGGGCATTTTGATGAGAGAAACTAGCTTGAGCAAAGGCCTGGAGGTTTAACAAAGCAGCATAAAATGAAGGATAGTAAGAAGGGATAGGAGAAAGGGAGATACCAGATCACAAAGGGCAAAAGATGCATTGGGGAACCACTGGAGGGGAGTGATAGCTCAGATTTGCTTTTAACCCTGAAGTGAGTATCTAGACTGAGACCCTCCCAGATATACAGGCATTTATCTCCTTGCAAAGGTGAGACTAAGCCAGCCTTGACCTCACAGAACAAAAATCAACTAGCACATTGCAGACTTCTCACCAAATGGCAGTCTCTGCCTCCACTTTCTCCTCCTTTTTTTCCCTCTTCCACAAACTCTTCAAATGTCTGGGTCAAAGAAGACAAGGATCATAGTATGATAATATGTGAAAAGTGCTGAGTATAGCATATGATACATAGCAGATCCAGAATGCATGCTAGTCTCTTTTCACCTTCCCTGGGTTTAGAGAAGATAAACTAGCAGGCACAACAAGTAGTTGCTGTCTGATTAGAGAAACTAAGACTGCGAAATTTCATGTGAAAACCACACACTGTTCTTGACAGATGAGCTGCAGCTCAGCTCTGTCTGGAGACGCACACGCTCAATGCTAATAAGCCTTAGAAGGCCACTCTTCTTTCTCTTGCCCTCCACATGTTAAGTGATATAATAAAACATCTCACCAAGTCATTAATATAAATATTTTCAGACTTTAAACAAGGTGTTTTTGCATTTTATTTCCAGCCCGTGTGCCTGGATGCACTTTATTCCCTGCAGCACTAGCAACACAGCCATTACCCTCCTCTGGGGAAGGAATGGTCATCCAGGAGCCAGCAAGTCAAGCAGATGAGAAACAGAAACAACCAAGCCAGGAGTCAGCCCAGACAGCCCCAGGATATTGACTCTGAGTGGCCAAATTCCTTCCATCTGAACCACAAATGCTGATAAAATATTTTCAGGAACAGAGTGAGGGAATGTACTTCACTTACTTCCCAAAATGTAGACTTGAAGAGGTCAAATACTATTTAATCCAAGCTCAGAAAATAATGCCCAACTTTATCCCAGAGCTAAATTTAGGCATAAACTGAGATCTGGCCCTTGGCAAGTTAATTTAGATGAGCTAATAGTTGTTCCTGGCATACGGGATACACTCAATAAATGGTAACTATTATTGTTACTGCAAAAATGGAGTGTCTGTTGGATGTTCTCATCTAGTCCTCCCACACATCCTAAAATCAGCTGTGCCAATCACTTGCACATCTGGGAACAAAGCCCCACATGCAGCTAACTAGGAGGCAGCTTTTTCTTTAGGAGCTCCTCTCTGGGAGGAGGCAGGCCTCCCTGTGGGAACCCTTCTCTTGGGGATAAGACCACCACCTAGCTATGCTGGTATTTGCTACGTGGGCCTGACCTTGAGCTTAGGAGGAGGACCAGGCACCCCACTCTGCCCCTTCTCCTCTCTTCCAACAGCAGCCTCTGCAGTGGGGCTCAGGCAGGTAAGAAAGGGGACATGCAGGGAGCCAGGCTGGGCACATTCACAAAGAGAAGCTTGGCAGTGTTTTCAGGTTCCAGAACCTGCAGGGTATACTCTGCAGGGCTTAGGAAGAACTTAATGAAGAGCCCCACCACTCCTCAAGGCTGCCAAGGTCTAAAGTGAATGCCTGTGTTTAGATAGCACCCATTGTCCCTAAAAGTAGGGCACAAATGCAACAACCAGCTAACACACGATAATGTTTTTAGCAATCTTCATAATCACTTCTTTCATTTTTCTGTGCCTTAAAAGAAATTAAAATTTAAATTTCCTTTAATTATCCATCCTTATTCCAAAATGTCCTTGGGATTTGTTCCCACTCATGTCCCACTGCTAATCCTCCTAACATGAAGGCCTTGGTGCTGCCTTTGCTCCCTGACATCCAACCAGTAGTTACTGGTCCTGTTTTCTTTCCTTTAGAGTGTCTCAAGGGTTTGCCCCTTCCCTTTCTACTTTCACTACCACCTCATCTGTTCCCACTTGCATTAGTATAAAAGGACCAGAATGGGTTTCCTGCCTCCAAATCACTCTCTCCATTGCAAGGTGAAACTTGCTAACTCCCCAGTTTTCAAGTGAGTGCATTAAAGTAGCGTTCCTAGAAACCACTTAGCAGTAGGTGGTGCTCTTGTGCCAGTTCAGTGTTCACAAAAGTTTTGTTCTATTCTCAAGCAGCACAGCGAGTACAGACTGTGTCACGGTCAACTACTTATTTATTTGGTACTATGTGCCTCTGGTCAACACAGAGTAATTGAAGACACTGGTCCTGACCTCCAGGAATTTTCAATACAATTGGGGGAATGAGGTCTTTGAGCATCTAGCTGTAATGCTAGATGGGATGGAACAGGGAACAGGGACAATTTGAGGGTGATGGACAAGGGCTGCAGGAAATGCTCAGAGGAGAGAAAGAACACCTCCAACAGGAGAAAACAGAGAGAGTAGCATCTGAGGCGGACCTTCAGCTGAGGGAGGTCTTTAATAGGCACATACAGTGGAGCAGACATTCCAAATGGGAGGAGTGTTGGCATAAACAAAGGCATGAGAAGGTGGGAATGTGCAAAGCACAGAAGAAAATGCACTGAGGGATGGCAGCTGATTGCTCAAGTCCAGTCTCACTCTCTATTCTAGGGACCTCATGTTTGTACCCCTCTTGCCTCCTCATGACAAGGTCATCTCCCCAGGGAAATCTGGGACAAGCTTGTCAACCCAATCTGCAAAGAGGGTGGAGGAAACCAAACCCTCTTTTATCTCACCATCAGAAAGCATATGTTACAGAGTATATCTTACCACATCAGCAGTTGTCCCTATACTAGGACATCCTTATGCTAGAGAAAGCTTACTAAGGAGAGGCTGGAGGTGAACAAGCCAAGATATTGGGATTTCAACGGGGCCATGGAATGGAGGACTGGGGGAAGAACCCTTCTGGGATTCCAGCTACAGGCAGATTTCCTCCAAGGGATTAATATATTCCTTTGTGTATTTTACTAAAGGTTTTCCAATGCTTTCCAAGATAAGACCATGAGGCTTTGGCTCTCCTTGGGAATGATCTCAGGAAGAGCCATGGGATACAGGAATGGGGTTGAACAGTAGATCCGCTTGAGTTGGGGCTTTTCTCTGAGAAATAGTAACTACTATTGACCTTGGCACCAGAACACTTTAACTCAACACTTTCATACTGGAAAATCTCTCGGTGCTCAAATGTGAGAAGACATCCTCCTGTATTCATACATGAGATGGTGTCTCTCTCTATTTGAGTGAGAGAACATCATTCTCTGGGTGAGCAAACTCTTGGGGTTTCAGATCAGTTAACCTGGGCTACAAAAAACTGGTGTACCTACACATACAAAATCTCATTCTCACCTGCGCAAGTGGGACCAAGAGCTGCAGGCTCCTCCTGTATCCCCTCACACATTTGAAAACCTGGTCCCAGGAAAGCTGCATTAAAGAGTTTAGAGCCGATGTCAAATGAAAATAGGCTGAAAGAACTCACAGAACTTTTTCTGGTGGAGAAAACATGGCCTCCAAGCAA